CAGTGCCGAGTACAGGGCTCAGATCCCTTCCCTGTCCCTGCTGGCCACGCTATTGCTGACACAAGCCAGGATGCCATTGGCCTTCTTGGCCACCTGGGCACACTGCTGGCTCCTGTTCAGCCGGCTGTCAATCAACACCCCCAGGTCCCTCTCTGACTGGCAGCTCTCCAGCCACTCCTGCCCAAGCCTGTAGCACTGCTGGGGGTTGTTGTGGCCCAAGGGCAGCCCCCGGCATTTGGCCTTATGGAAACTCCTGCAGTTGGCCTCAGCCCATGGCTCCAGCCTGTCCAGGTCTCTCTGCAGAGCCTCCCCACCCTCGAGCAGATCAACTCTCCCACCCAACTTGGGGTCATCTGCAAACTGACTGAGGGTGCACTCGATCCCCTCGTCTAGATCATCAATAAAGATGTTAAACAGAAGTGGCCCCAAAACCAAGCTCAGAGGGACAAAATTGTTGTCCAATTACTCTCCAATCACCCTTAAATCAAGCTGTGTTAATACAGAAACATTTAACCACATCTTCAAAATAGATGAGACAGTTTATTCTCTTGATGACACTGGTAAAGAAAGGAACAGAAAATGTGCTTAATGTACAGCTAGTAAAATATGAAAGGTCTCTCTGTTTCTCCCTGTTTTCTGGCCTTTCTCCAGAGCTGGCTGGAGAGCACTCAGTCTTGGTAGAGCATGGGAGATCCTGCAGTTAATCTCTTCCAAGGGAATCTAACTTTCCCTTTGATACATCTGCGCCTCTTTCCTCCTCCCCCTCACCATACATGAGATAGTCCTGCTACCCTCTAATCAATACAATCATTGTTCAGCTCCTTCGAGATGCAAACACAGTTTTGCGACACCAAGCATTGTCTGATGGACTTGGCCGGTTAATCAGCTACTCCTGCAGGTAAAGAAGGGGGCATCCCCTGTCCCCAAAGCATTCACCTCTCAGCTTGAGGAGTTTCTCCCCACTTGCACCTTAAATTTGAAACAAGTCCATGTGTCCGCACATGCACTCAAACATCAAAATCCATGTAGGATAGACATGTAGAGCACAAAGCTGGCTTGCAGCTGGCCACAGCTGTAATCAGCCATTCAGCAGCATGAACTTTTACCCTCCTACAACAGCTTTCTTTAGGCCAAACCAAGGCAAGAGGATGAATGAACATCTGTGCCTCTGTAGCATAAACATACACAAGGCACAAAGAACTGGAAAGCCTCCTTCTTGCTGGAGCACTGGATAAAATTTGGAGGGCCAAGCAGGAAGTGCTGGAGGGGGGAAGCCAGAGGTGGCAGAAAGCCCATCCTCATGCATGTGATGAGAGCGCTGACTGCATCTCTCTAAATAATGCTCTGAACAGAGTCAGTTTATTTCTACAAGCATAGGCTGTTCTGATGTTATTACCCAGCATGTGGTAGGTGAACTGAGAGTACAGAGCCTCTTATGACATGTCTGTAAAGTTCCCTAAAACAATAATAACACATGCTTTTAGGAGGGTGGAAGTGAGAATATGGAAAATAAGGGCATGAAGTGTAACACCTAAGCACCACAGAAATATTAAAGCATTCTAGAAATGCTAATGCTGATTTTAACATAAATTTATTGAAACTGCCATTATTTCATTATGTGGTTTTGTGCTGTGAAGAGGATTTGATTGGTGAAAGACTTACTTTGAGATGTATTTGAACCCTATATACAGAGTAAAGCAAATTAAGACCTATCCAAAAGGTAATACATTTAAATGAAAAGACATCTTCCTCACTATGCATTCACGCATACCAAAGTGAACATCATCAGCTAGCAAAATCCTTCAAACTGTGTACATTTTACTTGCTGAAAAAAAAAATCATGCAAATGGACACAATGGCATACACCTAAATGTAACATATAACCGGATTAGCTATAAAAATAAGGATCAATGGAACTCTATTTCATACACAATGCTCCAAAAAATGATAATTCAAGAAATGTCTGATACCAGATTATTTAAAAGGTCTTTGCTTCAACATGCACTGGAGAGGTGTGGAAAATTCAGAGCAAACTGACAACGTTTGATTTATTTTTCAGAAATTTCTGGAGCTCTGTCATCTTATCACAATTAATTCCAAATGCAAAAAGAGCTTAATATGTTGTGCGAGAAAAGAATTAGGTGCCATCTCTGACTACCTTTGACAGGAGAAAGAGGAAGAGACTATTTCATAGAACCATTTTAGGTATTCCAGTTTAATTCCTCTGTTGTGACAGAGGAGCACAGAAAAAGCATCTTGGGGTGGTGGGTTGGCTTGTTTTATACCACCAGCAAAGTGAAAAAGAAATTAGAAATATTTTTGCCTTCTCATCATCAACAGTGACAACTTATGGAAAATAGGAGCAACTCGTCCAAAAGCTCTGTGCACCATCATGCCAGTAGGCTCACACACGTACAGATTCAGAGCTCACTCATGCTGCATGAAACACTCTTGCATTCTTGAATAAATTAGACAAAATATGTAGACACACTGGGCTTTTCACTGTAATTATTCAATGCTGATGTTATCTGTTCCAGAAATCTCAGAAATGTTGTCGATGTATACTGGATGCTCAGGTGAGGCCGAGGTATCTAAATAAAGGAATTGGCCCAAAGACATTGCTCATACTTACATTATACAAATTGCCGTCATCCTTTGTGGGTGGAGGACATCCTGGATGCATACAATAAAGCAGTCAGTAGATTTAGCTGGCCTGCTTGGCACTCAGATAGCAAATCACTGCAGACCTTGACAGCCTAACAGAGGTCATTAAGAAATAAAAGAAACAGAAAGAAAGCTATTTTCCAGAATATTCACTGTAAGCGAGAACTTTCCTCAGAGCAGGAGGGTAGGTCAGTCTCTTCTGCTCTCATTTTGCATGAGGGAAAAAACACTGCAAGTGAAGCAGCGAAAAGTTTCTGCGTTGCTGGTGTGCTGGGATTTATCTTAGGACAGGCAGGGCAGCAAGTAAGTTCAGGGCATTGCTCCTGCCTCCCTTGAGCCTTCAGTACTCTAATGTTAAAAACTGTGCCTCTCATACCCTGCCACTGCCATGAGAAGGATTGCTATTGATCATCTCCATCCTCACATGCAAAAAATCCGTATTATTTTGTTGGGTGTCTCCAGGGAGGGAAGTGGCACCAGGAGCAGATGGTAAGGGGGTAGCAGCTTTCTGAAAATCAAAGGTGGCAGTTTTGCATGACTAAAATGCTTAGAGAGATTTCTAGCCTGCACCTCTCCCACAGATGCAAATTATTCCCATCACTGGGCTGGTGTCTCTGTGGGTAAAGTGAATCCAGAAAGATGGGGGTGACAGCACCCAGCTCCTGCACATATAAGGGCAAACAAATGAAGCCTGTGGCCTTGTTCAGCTCTGTGCACCGAAGGGATCTGAGGGAAGTCCTCTCCTTTGGGTAGCTGAGCACAATTAGCTCAAATCTCTGATTTCCTCCTGTGGAAGAGGTTACCTGGTAGGCCCCACTGCTCAGCAGAGCTCAGCAGTTACGCAGTGTAGGCAGAGGGACTCCTGTAAAGGGTGCATTCACAGGCATCTCCCCATATGCACTCATACACACACCCCACACACCCCCACCCCTCACCCCCGGTGCTTGGCCCTTCATGCATCTTGCTAAGAACTGCGTACATTTGGGATCAACCCTGCTGCAGATTGAGCAGCGCAAAGGCTTGAAACATTTCCTTTCCATTCAGGGCACTAACAAATTCAGATGGTCTGTTGGTCACCAGCTGCCCCTGGAAGAGCCACTCAGTGCCAAGCACCTTGATGAGGATGCTCCAAAACTCTTCTCAACACTCTCCTCCCTGCACTGCCATGAGGATCCCCTGCTTCCCCAGCTAAACACCATCCAGCTTTGACTGTGCTGTGGGATGGTTCCCGCACCCTGCATGGTCACCACCACCTTCTGCCAGCTCAGAGGGTAGAGTCCTCTCGGCACCTTCCTCCAACCCACCAGTCCCTCAGCAGCAGCAATACCCCCGCCTTCCCTTTGCTGCCTGACTGTTTATGTACCCTTCATCTTCACAAAATATAGAACTGTGACTGCACCACTGATGTCTGTCAAGATTATGTGATTACACTAACCACCTTAATATGTATTTCTTTACATAACAGCTAAGCAGACACTTCACACCCCAGCAAGCATTCAGCAGAGACAAGGATCTTAACATCAATGCAGATTAAACCCAGAGCACCACAGAAAAACATCTTGTAATTGGTGCAACTCAACCAGTTTCAATAGAAATTATCTCTGGCCTGTAAATCACAGAGAAGCTGTGAAATGGATTAGCTAAGACAAGTGAGGAGAAGCAAAAAGAGAGAGGAACAAACACTAGCACAGACTAAACTAGGCAGGAGAGCTGAGACAGAGTACAGATGTGTTTTCAAGGGCGCTGAGCATACTTTGGCAGTAGTCCTCGCCTTTTCCCACAATAAGCTGTTATCTGCGGAGAAAAAAACCACAACAAAGCAGGCATAAATGTGCAGCTCCTATTCAGTGCCAAAGCTGGTTATCAGCAATGAGGCCCCATTTCCCATGGAGTACTTGTAAATTTAAGGTCGGCTTTACCTGATGTGCAGATTAGGTTCATTGTATGGTTATCTTGGTAAAGACTGCCAGTGGTTTGGGGTCTTTATGGTATTGACTAAGGCTATTAAAATAAAATAAAGGGCCTGAAACGGAAAATATTAACCCTTTACAAGCCAGAGGGACCACTTTGTGTTTCTCTATAGGTTCTAGTGCAGGAGAAAAATTACATGATCCATGCACAGGGATTAATTTACATAATGCAGCTAAAGGCCTGAGGTTGGGGTGTGGTGGAGACATGACTGCTTCTCACCCAGGACAGTGATATGTATTAACACATGCCATCAGTAGCAGTTATGCAATAAGCGGGATCAATGCTATGAACACCCAAAGCCTGCTGCAGAGATGACTTCTCCACCCTCTGGGCATGGTGGTTCTTTCAGCTAAAAGCACCAGAGGTATTAAATGCCACAGTATGCATCAGAAAGACCAGGGCTTCAGAACAGACCCATCACCTTGTTTGCATCTCCCCTCACATAAGAGCATAGAGGGAGCCAGCTGCAGGGTGAAGTCCCAAACTCCCCATACAGCATAAGGACCAGGCAGTCCCCTAAGCCAGTCTTCCTTCTCTAGGGCTGCCTGGCCCTGGGCTGTGTCAGCTGCTCCTACTACTTCCACCTTGTAGAACCAGGGAGATGCTAAAATACCATTGGGGCGAATTAATGGAAGGGATGACATGTGGACAGACACCCCAGCACTATCTTCAAAATTGAGTTTACTTAGCTTTGGAAGGAGCGTTTGCATACAATATAGCAGCAGAGAGGAGAAACCACTGAAATACATTCTTCCAAGAAGCAAACCCTAGGCTATTGACAGCCTCTGGAAAATTGAAACTGTCACAGAGGTTTTTTCCTCACAGAGTATTAATATGAATTAAATGCATAGAACACATTCTAATAAAAGATATATATTAAAATACAGTGGAGAACATCACACAGTGCAGACATCTGTAAATGGTGTGATCTCACTGACCTTCTCAGGAAAAGATGTACCAAAGTCAAGGAAGGGTTGTAAAAACAGGCTCTTTGTAGAAACATTCATCTCCATATTCTTTCCTAGGAAAGTAAGTATAATTTCAAAAAGGAAAGCATGAAGTCTATCAACAGTTATTAAACAAGCTGTCTTTAATGTCTGGATTTGCATTTCATTTCAGTATTTTCATAGCACTACCTGCAGAACTATTTCAATAATACAAGTTTGTGTCAGAGGAATGACAGATCTCTGAAAATGCCTCCCTGAGAAGCATCTGGACACTGGCAAATAAAAGTATAACAAAAAGGGAGGAGAATCAGTGATTTTCCTATTCATCTGAAGTTACTGATCTGCCACAAGGGGCTACAACTTTTGCAGGTGCCTAAAGTCATACATGGCATGTGTTAAGACAGCTCTAGCTTTGTAAGAGTCTGGATACTTAATCAGTCAGGAAAATGTTATCCACCAGCCATGAGAAACTAATGTAAAATTTCTATGGAGTCCTCCATGCTATATATATTAAAAAATTGCCAGCTACTAAACAAAATAAAAATGCCTAAAAGAAACTGAAAAAGTGGGTGTAGTGGAACAATGACATCTGCAGAGTTTCAAAGTGATGTACCAGGAAGGCAGGGTGAGAGATGTGCTTTAGCCTTCTGCTTAGTGAAACTTGTTGGGGAATAATTGTTTGGACAATGGGGCAGGGGCATCCACAGCTCTGTGCCTTCATGAGGGATCTGCAGCAACTCTGACCCACACCCCCACACCGAGTCTTCCAGTCACTGGACAGGGAATAAACAGCTCCAGCTCTTGCCAGGAATATCTGGTGCAGTGGTCTCTTTGACAACCATCCCCAAGAAAGTAAAAAACTGTCAGTCCTGTCAGTCCAATGAAAGGTTTACCTCATTTACAGTCTTACTTTGCTCTGAGGAACGAAAACACCATGAATCAAGGCTGACCTGCTAAACCAATCATTATCAGTGGTGCAGTCTGCGATAAATGCAGACAAGTGGAGTGTAACCACTCCTGACTTGGGCAAGCAAGCCATTTTCCTCTTTTTTCTTTAAATTTCGCAAGGAGGGACATTTACCAGCAGGCCCCAGCTCCCTGTGAGGCAGTCTGCAGGGAAGGGGAGCAGCAGCGGCTGCCGGGCATTGCCAGAGTCAGTACAGATCCCCAGGGATTACTTGCCAGCCTGTTTGCAGTTTGATCCCACTTAGCACAAGCAAATATCAAAATATTTTGTTTCTAAACAGAAGACTGGAGACTGTTATGCAAATCATTCTTATCCTAATGCACAGGCAAATGACTGAATTAGAGCAATAGGATTAGATGCTAATTTGTCAATATGATAGTTCAATTTAGAATATTTAAAAAAAAAAAAAAAAAGCTGACAGTGGAGTTTCTGGCCTACCAGTCAAACATTTAAATGGATGACGTCTTTCTGGTGAAAATTCCCCTAGAGGAGGGTAATGGACTAATTAAGGCAATTAAGAGTAAAGGCATCAGGGGCTTCTCTCCACATCATAGAAAGAAAGTCACCGAGCCTTCTTCTTCCCTGAGCCCATGTTGCCTGCAGTGTGAGGGAGGGACCACACTCAGGTCCTCCCTCTCTCCCTCCATCTGGGACCCGTTTTACCACAGCTGGGGAGAGTTGTCGCCTGCCCCACGCCCGTCTGTCTCGCAGGGAGTTGCCCAGCCCCGGGCACCGCGCTGTACCAGAGGAAAGCCAGTGCAGGGTTTAACTCCACTGCCGTGTAGAGGGCATCTGCAGCGTCTATGCCAAGGCCACAGCCTGAGTTTTTGCCGAGGACGCCCCTCTCACTCTTCCAGCCCTACAAAGGAAACAGCAACATTTTCTCGTGGTGTTACAATCCCAGCACCATAAACCCCGTGCTTCTTTTCCCCCATCTTGCCATGCAGTACTCTCCCTTTCTATTTTCTGTCTGCAGAGCAAGCCCAGCCTGCTGTTTCACCTTCACCAAAGAAAGATCAGTGGAAGTGCCTGATTGCTTAAAGTACAGTACAAGGAGCACTAGGCTCTGATATAGCAATTTCTGTCTGAGACAATTTAGCTTTTGATCTCTAGATGCAGTTAATTGCTAGCTATGCAGACACTTGTGGGGGAGAAAACAATCACAAGCAATTTTAGAAGTGAGATGCTTGATGCTTAATCTTGCACCTGTCCTAAGAACTGAAATGGGCTTTTCTTAGTCTGGGTCATGCTGCACAGAACTGCACAGATCATCCAAAGGCAAAACATTTCAAATGTCAAATAGATGCAAATCCACTGCTCACTCTCATGATAAAAAGAGAAAGTCACCAAGATAAAAACAATAAGCTGTTACAACCAATATACTCTCATTAACAGCATTCCTCATGTCCCAAAAATAAGGCAATAAATCATACACAAAATAATTGGGAAAAGCAGCTACATTCATTGTTCATTTTGGTCTTTGTCTTCATGTGGTAATGCAGAAGCGAAGAGCGAAGAGCAGAGCGAAGTCTCGCTTCTCCAGGGAGAAATGCAATGCTATTTTTAGATGGGGAAGGGAGGAAGGTAAGACAGGACTACCTGGAGTGCACTTCATTCAGGTTCAAGTTCCAGCATGAAAAACAAGTGCCAGCAAAAAAACCTCCTCTGTCTAGGAGTTGGTTAGGTATGTCTCATGCTCCCTCAACCATAACTGCCCTGCTACAGGCATAAGCTGTGACAAATATCCTGCTACCCACCACCAATTTGCTTCTATTCTCCTGGGTGTAATAACAACACATCTCAAACCCTTGAAGCCTGATAATTTGGGATTGCCTTAAGAAATGTCATTCCAAAGCACTGTTTAGCCCACAAACCACAGCCAGCTGAGGCTGGCAGGGCCAGCTACGGAGGGGTGTATGAAACAGGGCAAGCACCTCTCCCTTGCTGTCATGCTGCCCTCAGTTTAGGACCTGGCTGTGCTAGAGGGTATAGACATGCCGCCTGGTTTGATTTGCCCTGTGCAGTCATCCTCCTTTGGTTTAACTACCCCTCCCAGTGCACAAGAGCACTCTGGGTACTCTGGCATTCCCAGCGCACAAGAGCAACAGTGCAGTTCTGCACTGCGTGAAAAAACACTTACCCGTCTCTGCTTCACATCTGATACCCAGCTTGCCCACTGAGCAGTGCTTGGATGCTTTTAGCAAACTCTCAGCAATGACTCAAGCTGTCTTTCATTTTTTCCTGAGCTAAGAGATCATAATTTTGTATATGCAGTCACTTTTCCCCTGACAGCCCCAACACAGAATTCATTTTAGTGCAATGAGCTATTTCAGCATCTTTTTAGAGTCAGCACTAGATTTTGTTATCCTGAATAACATTTTATCGGCTGTAAATGTCACTATTGTCTCGTACCACCTTCTTCAGGCCGCTTAGGATGATGCTAAACGTCAAGCCCAGGACTGCTATCTCTAGGACCTCCTCCTGATGGTACAAGGTGACCATTTCCTCCAACCCTCTCTTTTCTGGGATTTAGTCCAAATGTAACCTCTTTTGAGTTAGCACCGAGGGTAATCTCTCCTGTTCCATAATAAATGTCATTTGTTAGGAGCCGTTCTTGCTTCCCTAAGGCTGTGTGGAAAGCTACATAGCCCAGCCAAGCACAATCTGTGTGCTCATAAAATCCTTCCAAGAATTCTTGTGGCTGTCAGGCCTGATCTTCCTCTCAACACCAATGTTTCTTCTCAAACCTTCAGTCAACCCTGTGACCGCTACAAAATAATCGAGAGCCTTGACTGACCACTAGCTCCCAGGATCACTTCTGCAGACCCATTCAAAGCTTGGCATTGCATTTCCCCTTCCATCCCTTTACACCCAGAGCCGATTGTAGCACCAGATTACACACAGTAATTCAGAAATTTCTTATTTGTGGTGTGTGTTTTTTGAAGACTCCTGGGTAAACACCATCTGGTGCTGAGAATTTGTTAATGTTTAGTTTATCGATTTGTTCTAACATGCCTTTTCCCAACACCTTCATTTGAGGTGGTTCCTCAGACTCCGTCCCCATTCACAGTGTCTCCATCATAGTGATTTCCAACGCAACGAATTTCCTCAGCTTTTCTGCAATGCCCTTGCTGTCTGCCAACAGATCTTTTCACATGGGATCATTTACTGGCTCCACCAGATCCTGATAATCTCTATGGACTATGGACTGGTGGTGTACAGCCAAACTGATCCTGTTAATATTTATATATAGAGTTTAAATGCACTTATACTTCAAGTACATGCTGCTAAGTTTACTATGAAATTTTCAGATGGAAAACACCAAATGTGATCTTGGTACACATCCAAACATAAATGTGAATTCTTTTGAGTATTTCCCAAACAGGAGCAATTTTTATCTTACGGATCTACCAAAACTAACTGATAACCAGCCCACAAGCACAGTGTGTAGCTGCCAGTCACTTCAAATGTTTGCTATTGACAGAGATGAATGGAGCCTGAAACAGTACCTTTCTTTGTGTTAAATGTTCCATTCAATCCCTGAAAGTATGCAACAGGAGAGAGAAACCAAATACAAGATGACCCTTGCCTAACCAAGCATAGTGCTTTTGAAGCCCCTGTTTATGTAAAGAGGTGTTAAGATTTATGTGAAGTTGCTCATGAAAATTCATAACGAGTGTTTCAGTAGTGGAAGGTAAAATATTTATTAAAAACAGTGGATTGAAGAGAAAAGCTCATCCCTATGATCAGTTTGTCATACATAAAATGAGCAATAAAGGTGACTGCCTAACATTTACTTACAATCCCAATTTAAGCCCTTAGAAAAAGAGAACCTGGAGATAAGGGGCAGCAGCTTCTAGAGCACTGAAATAGAAGAAAGCGGCTTCAGTGCAAATGAGAGGGAGATGAGGAGAATGATTTATAAGTGCAATGATTAATCTTTCACTTTATGTGGGAACAGACTTGGGCATTTGATTAAATATCCAAGGTAGGAGAACAACATGTAATAATGTAAACTCTTGTTTTGCAACCATTTTCAAGCTCTCACTCTTTCTTCCATGAAAGTGATTTGAATTTCAGATTATTGAGGTTTTGATTTTGTTTTTT